TCCAGGGACTGGTCCTTCCTGACAACATGTCCAAAGTATAAGAGATGAAGTCTTGCCATCCTTGCTTCTAAGGAACATTCTGACTGCACTTCTTCCAAGACAGGATTGTTGGTTCTTCTGACAGTCCATAGGACTTTCAATAGTCTTCCCCAATGCCATAGTTCAAATATATCAATTCTTCTATGGTCTTCCTTATTCACTGTCTAATTTTCACATGCATAAGAGGCGATTGAAAATACCATGGCTTGGGTCCACCACAGTATGAAAACTGGCAGATGAGTGATGGCTGGCAGAGATTTATTGTTGTTAAGTGTCGTCGAATCAGATCTGACCCATAGTGACCCTGAATAGGGTTTCCGAGTAGTGACTGGTGAGCTTGAACCACTGACTTTGCTATTCAAACTGACTTTGCAGTAGAGCGCATTAACCCACAGCACCACACCAGGACTACAGCCTAAGAAATCTTTTGGAATATTTCTATTATGTCACATGGGGTCGCTATGAGTCAGAATCGATTCAAAATTCCTAACAACAAGCTACTCAAGCTACTGTCTTATTTTTTTTTTAAAAAAACTTGCAGATTAAGGAGAACTGGCAAGCCTTAGTATATTTGCACATGTCTTTGAAGTTTTATCTGTGTTCATTCCACCCTCATTTGCCCTCAGCCCACAGCTGGACAACAAAGACCTCACATTCTTACTTGTTGGGGTAATGATTTAAAGTTTATCTTAATAATAAAATACTTTCCTTATAATTTTATTCTTTTTAATTTCATGACTTTTCTTTAAAGATAACTCAACACTTGGAGAGTACGCTCCTGTTTTTGACTTTCCACAGGTTTTTCTCTCACTCTCTCAAGTAAAGACTAAATGGTTCCAAGAGAATTATCCAGCTAAAAACTGGAAGTTGGTAGTTCATGTGAAACAGAAAATTAACATGAACATGGAAGGTTTGGCTGAGGTACACAAACAATAGATGACATATTGTAAAGTATGAGGAGACTATGAAGCAGGCTTGACAAAGCCTGTAGCTCTGGTGTGCAGCTGTAGGATAAGCACTCAACCTCAAGGTCTGTTTGAACTGCAAGGTCAGTGGTTTAAACTCACCAGCCGCTCCTTGGAAACCCTCTACAGGGTTGCTATGGGTTGGAACCAACTCGATGACATTTAACAACAACAAGAACAATCGACCAATCAATCAATTAGTACTTGTAGTTCTGTAGGATAAGCACTGGGCTGCTATCCTCAAGAATGGCAGTTTAAACCTACCAGTGGCTCCTCAGAAATCCTATACAAGGTCACTATGAGTCAGAACCAACTCAAATGCACTAACAACAACAATCAATTATAGGATTGTTACACTTTAACTAACATTAGTTCTATAAAGGTTGAGACTTGGAAATTAAAAGAGCATTTTTGGAAAGGGCTGTTATTATACAGCGAATGCACTCTCCCTTTTTCAAACACATACCATCTTTAACTCGGAGAAATGGGCTTTAAGAGATAACTTGAAAATCACTCAAGTCTGATAATTATAAAGAATGAGACATAGGATGGCATACTGCTGTTCCTGCCAAGGAAAGGCAGCCACATTGAAAGACTGTAATTTCCAGCATTTGTTGGAGGCAATTAATATGTTACTGCTTCCCAGTATTCTGATATGGCCCCATATAAGAAAGAATTACAGGCCCATTTGATTTCCTGTTCAAGAAGGTTATCTGAAGGAGGCAAAGAGATCTTAGAAGAATAAAGTTGGAAGCATCACCAAATAGATGCCCAGGGCTGAAGAAGGCATATGGGATCATCTGTGATTGGGCTAGACTTATCCTACCTCAGGGAACTATGATTCAGATCCTTAATGCTTTGTGGCAGGAGTGGAGATGATGCAGGTGGGTGGGGAAAAGAATACCCAGCTTTAGATAATCTCTGACAGGTGCTACAGAGTAAAAATTTTCCTGCAACTTTTTAGCTCTTCTTCTTTCCCCTGCCAATTCTGGAGAGTTCAGAAACCACAGTAGGCAAGACAGAGCCTGGGAGAGGGTGTAGAAGTTAAAGGTATGGAACACTGGGTAAAATGCCAACAATCTGCATTCTTTTCTCTCATGGCAGGTGAGCATCCTGCAATAGCCTGGAAAAGTGGCGTAAGCTCGAATGAAGTTTACAGTTTTAATAGTTATGCTGGGATGGACTTATTAATCACCAACAGGAGGTTCATTTATTTCCTGAAAGTGACTAGGGGTGAGGGAAGACAGACACCATGAATAAATTAAATGAGTCACTGGTAGACAAAAATGAAGCGACTTTATAATTCATCCCAAGTGTCATGCTTATTCAAAGTAAGGCTTAAGTATGGATTTTCTTATCAGTCCTTGCAAAGTTCTCTTGAACTAGATGCTACTATCACTCACATTTGACAGATGAGAAAATTAAATTTAGAGAAGTTAAACATCTTTCCCAAGAGAAAATGGCTATAGAACAGGGAACTGCAATCAGTCTGTCTCCAGCAATGCCTTGGTAACAACAGTGTAGCTTTCTTCTTTTTTCACATGAAGATTTTCAGCTTTTCTATCCTTGGCAGAAACCAAGGGATTATTATTTACAAGGAGTAGTTAATTATACAAGGAGTTCTGATAGCATTGTTGTTGTTGTTGTCAGGTGCCATTGAGTCAGAACCAATTCATAGCAACCCATGCACAGCAGAATGAAACAATGCCCGATCCTGGGCCAACCTCACTACCACTGCCACACTTGAGTCCATCAATGATACCACCTGGCCAATCCATCTTGTTGGGGGTCTTCCTTTTTTTCTCCGACCCTCCATCTTGCCAAGCATGATATCCTTCTCCAGCGACTGTTCCCTCCTGAAAATATGTCCAAAGTATGAGAGACAAAGTTTAGCCATCTTGGCCTCCAAGGAGCACTCTGGATGCACTTCTTCCAAAACAGATCTATTGGTCCTTTTGGCAGCCCATGGCACTTTTAATATTCTCCTCCAACAGCACAATTCAAAGGCATCTATTCTTCTACAATCTTCCTTATTCACTGTCCAGTTTTCGCATCCATATGAG